CTTTCTTGGCTATATGTTGGACGTGGGTATGAAATTTAAGGTTTCAGTCAAGCTGAAGACCTAAAAATTTGAACTCAGTGTGTCTTAAAATAGGGAAACCGTTAATTAATATGTTAAGTTGGATATTTAAAGCTCTGTTTCCAAACAGTATGGGTTTAGTTTATATTTCTCAAATTAGACACATGTGTAACATCTGGATATCTTTACTAAGGAAGGTTCATTCTAGTGAAAAATACAAATGGTTCTCCAAAGAGAGATTCCATACTTTATGCTTTTTGTTTTGTTTCCTTCTCTAGTCCTTAACCCTTTGACTGTTTTGGCCGTATATATACGTTTTATGAGCCAGTGTTTCGGACGTATATATACTCAGTAATACTGGAAATGGGAAGTACAATGCCTGCACTTTAAAGGAGGTGTTTCGGATACTGGCAGTTTGGAGGGATATGTTGTAAATCTTTATACGCATATGCTTCTAAACTGTTGCGTTCTGAGCACCTCTGCAAAAACAGTGATTATGTATGAGTGAGGCGAAAGTGTTAAATGATGATGAAAGTATTTTGGAGGGGATTTTCTTTCTTTTTGGGTCACCCTGCCTCTGTGGGAGACGGCCAACTTGTTTCAAAAAAAAAAAAAAATTCTAGCAGCTTCAAATCAAGCAGGAGAAAGCTGGTAGGCCCACATGTGAGAGAATGGATCTGTGTGGTCAGTGTGCACTGTATAAAAAAAATCCTGCAGCACGTAGTGCATAATGAAAGAAAAAAACTCCGACTGTATTTTTGGATTAAAATGCCGACTTTGAGGTGTATTTTCGTATAGTATTTGTGGTCGTATTCTCGTTTTCTTGGTCTCATTTGATAGAATGGAAAACATATTACAGAAATAAAAACGACCTTGAAATTGAGCTCAAAGAGTGGAAATGTTCGATTTTTACCAATGTTCAAGAGTAAGCAAATCACACCACACGTCCAATACACATCAACTGGGGAGTCTAACATTCTTTTACTAGTGCACTGATATTATTTATACCACTTTTACAATAATGCAGTAGTCTGCATAACAGTAAATCTTCTATTTTTTTTGTGTGAATAAAAAATCAAAATAGAAAGCAAGAGTAATGTAAGAGGGGCCTGGAGATGTGAATGAACAGAGGATATGTTATTTTAGTGCCAAGAAAGTCTGTATTGTTTATTCTGGACCCTATTTTGAAATTGGCATCTTTTTTTAATTTGCGTGAAATTGGCCAAATTGCCAATTTCTGACCATGTTATTGGGTAGTTGAAATCGGTAAAATGGGCAGTTTCTTGTACTCAATTGATAGAAAAAATGGAGCTTAACCCTTTCAGGGTTTCGGACGTACTAGTACGGCTTATGCACCAGGGTTTTTTACATACTAGTATGCCTAAATTCTAGCGCCCTCAAATCTAGTGAAGGAAAAGGGGTAGGCCTACTAGAAAGAATGGGTTATGTGGTCAGTGTGCCAGTACAAAAAAATCCTGCAGCACCAGTGCTTTTGTGAGAAAAAAAAATTTGCGTTTTTTGGAATAAAACAAAAAACTTGCACTGTTTTTTGTAGGGTATTTATTGTTGTATTTATTTTTCCTGGCTCTTTTTATAGAATGGAAATTGAGTGATTTTGACTGGTTTTACAATGAAACTACCTTGAAATTGGTCAAATACAGAAATGTTAAATTTTTTACCAAAGTTCAAAAGAAAAACATATCATGCAAGCGCTAATAAACGAAACTGGTGAGTCTAATATTTTTTCCCCAAGTGCGTGTATTACTTTCCCATTTCAAAACCCTAATGTAGTAGCGCATAACAAAATTTTATTTTTGAAAAAAAAAAATTCAAAGGGGAAAGAAAAAAGAATTAAGAGGGGCATGGGGACTGAAAATGAACAGGGGAAATGTTATTTTAGTGCCAGGAAGTTTTTGTTTTTTTCTGGCCCTATTTGGAAATTGGGCATTTTTGAAATTTGTGTGAAATGGAAAAATTTGCTAAATTCGCCCACTTTTTGGATGTTGAAATCGGTAAAAGGGTGGGTTTTTTGTACTCATTCGATAGAAAAAATGGAGTTCTAGCGAAATAGTTATGATTTTTGTTGACTAGTACACTGGAAATGGCCGAAAATAGGGCTCACTGGGCAAAATCGCCAATGCGCAAACATCGTCGAGAACGCTAACTTCGTGAGAGCATAATTCCGTAAGTTTTCCATCAAATTTCATACTATTGGTGTTATTCTGATCTGGAAAAGATTCTCTATTTTTTCATAAGAAAAAATATTTTTTTTTTTTTAAATTTTTGCGACCCTGAGAAAAAGTCTGGGAGAGGGCCTGGGGACCCTGAAAGGGTTAAAGAAATAGCTATGAGTTTGGTCGACTCGAACAATGGAATTGGCCGAAAATAGGGCTCAAAGTCGGCGAAATCGCCGATGCATATATATCGCCGAGATCGCTAACTGTGCAGGAGCATAATTCCATAAGTTTTTGATCAAATTTCACACTTTTGGTGTCCTTATCATCAGGAAAAGATTCTCTATCATTCCATAATAAAAAAAAAAAATTCCAAAAATTTTTCAACACAGAATGACAGTTTCAGAAATGGGCTTGTGATAGTCAAAGGGTTAATTAAGAAACTTGTTCATTTTAGCCCTTGTTTGTTTGTTTGAGTCAAAGAAATTATGGTAAGTCTACTTATGACAGTAAATTTTAACTCAAAATTATTTTAACTAAAACCCATCATAACTCAAAGGACCACGGTATTGTAACAATAATATGTACAATAACATGCACTGTGTATACCTAGAATAATCAGATAATTATATTTGACAGCTTAACTCTTCCCAAAAATTCTAAGTATACTTTTAACACCATAAAATAAATGTAATCCCATTTGCTTGAGGAATAAACCATATCTCATATACCATGGCAGTGCACTATGTAAGTCAATTAACCCTTTGACTGTCGCAACCCCCAATCCTGAGGTGTCTCCTGGTGTCGCAAAATTTAAAAAAAAAAAAAAATTATTTTTTCTTATGAAATGATAGAGAATCTTTTCCCGATTGTAATGACACCAAAAAAACGAAATTTGATGGAAAACTGACGGAATTATGCTCTTGCGAAGTTAGCGACCTCGGCGCTGTTTACAAATCGGCGATTTCGCCCACTTTGAGCCCTATTTTCGGCTAATTCCATTGTTCCAGTCGCCCAAACTCATAGCTATTTCTTTAGAACTTCATTTTTTCTATCGATTGAATACAAGAAACTGCCCATTTACTGATTTCAACTACCTAATAATGTGGTCAGAAATTTGCAATTTGGCCAATTTCACGAAAACTAAAAAATATGACAATTTCAAAATAAGGTCCAGAATGAACAATGCAGACATTCCTGGCTCTAAAATAACGTTTTCTTTGTTCATCAGTCACGTCTCCAGGCCCTGGTGGCCTGGTGGTTAACGCTCTCGCTTCACACGGTGAGGGCCTGGGTTCGATTCCCAGCCAGAGTAGAAACATTGGACGTGTTTCTTTCCACCTGTTGTCTATGTTCCCCATCAGTAAAATGGGTACCTGGGTGTTAGTCGACTGGTGTGGGTCGCATCCTGGGACACTGACCTAAGGAGGCCTGGTCACAGACCGGGCCGCGGGGGCGTTGACCCCCGGAACTCACTCCAGATAAACTCCAGAAACTCCAGATAAACAAAAAATATTGGACTTACTATTATGCAGACTACTGCAATGCTGTAATAACTGTATAAATAACATCAACCCATTCATAACTGCATATTAGAATGGCTAGTTGGACATTTATTGGACAATGGCATCATTTGTTTACTTTTGAACATTGGCAAAAATCAAACATTTCCCCTACTTTGAGCTCCATTTCTAGGTTCTTTTTATAGTAAAATCAATCAAAATCACCTCTATTTCTGTAATATGTTTTCCATTCTATCAAATGAGACCAAGAAAACGAGAATACAACCATAAATACTATACGAAAATAGACCACAAAGTCGGCATTTTAATTAAAAAAAACGGTCGGAGTTTTTTTTTTCTCATTATGCACTGCGTGCTCCAGGATTTTTTTTATATGGTGCCACATGACCACACAGACCCATTCTCTCACATGTGGGCCTACCAGCTTTCTCCTGCTTGATTTGAAGCTGCTAGAATTTTTTTTTTTTTTTTTTCAACAAGTCGGCCGTCTCCCACCGAGGCAGGGTGACCCAAAAAAGAAAGAAAATCCCCAAAAAGAAAATACTTTCATCATCATTCAACACTTTCACCACACTCGCACATTATCACTGTTTTTGCAGAGGTGCTCAGAATACAACAGTTCTAGAAGCATACACATATAAAGATACACAACATATCCCTCCAAACTGCCAATATCCCAAACCCCTCCTTTAAAGTGCAGGCATTGTACTTCCCATTTCAGGACTCAAGTCCGACTATTGAAAATAACGGTTTCCCTGAATCCCTTCACTAAATATTACCCTGCTCACACTCCAACAGATCGTCAGGTCCCAAGTATCATTCGTCTCCATTCACTCCTATCTAACACGCTCACGCACGCTTGTGGAAGTCCAAGCCCCTTACCCACAAAACCTCCTTTACCCCTCTCTCCAACCCTTTCGAGGACGACCCCTCCCCGCCTTCCTTCCCCTATAGATTTATATGCTTTCCATGTCATTCTACTTTGATCCATTCTCTCTAAATGACCAAACCACCTCAACAACCCCTCTTCTGCCCCTGACTAATGCTTTTATTAACTCCACACCTTCTCCTAATTTCCACACTCCGAATTTTCTGCATAATATTTACACCACACATTGCCCTTAAACAGGACAAATTTAGAATTTATGAGTATATATACGTCAAACACGGCACCTCGTAAAACGTATATATACGGCCGCGACAGTCAAAGGGTTAATTAATAAATTTTCTTGAAAACTCAATATGTATGTCTGTACCATAAAATTCAGTATATCTCTGCACTTACACATCTGTCCAGGAGGTTGTAGTGGATGACCAGACATAGCACACCAACCCACTGGAAATATGTCTCTCGAGTCATACCGACACCAGTAGTCAAATGCTCCTCGCCAGCCATCGAAGGTCACGTGAATCATGTCACCATTCACAGCACCTCAAAAGAAAAGTTTTACGTAAAGCATTTTTAAAACTTTTTATAACTATTGATAAATAGTTGAACCAATTAACCTCAGGAGAACCATCAAAGGAGATATCCTCATTGCATTCTTATCTAAAATATATTATTTATCTACAAGTGAGAAAGAACCAGTTGTGAGTGTGGGGTAAGTGTGTGGGACAGTGGGTAGAATGAAAGGGGGTAAAGCAGCTGGGATTGATGGGATAAAGATAGAAATGTTAAAAGCAGGTGGGGATATAGTTTTGGATTATTTAGAGTTTTTATTTAATAAATGTATGGAAGAGGGTAAGGTACCTAGGGATTGGCAGAGAGCATGCATAGTTCCTCTGTATAAAGGCAAAGGGGACAAAAGAGACTGTAAAAATTATAGGGGAATAAGTCTGTTGAGTACCTGGTAAAGTGTATGGTAGAGTAATTATTAAAGGAATTAAGAGTAAGACGGAGAGCAGGATAGCAGATGAACAAGGAGGCTTTAGGAAGGGTAGGGGGTGTGTAGACCAAGTGTTTGCAGTGAAACATATAGATGAATACTATTTAGACAAGGGTAAAGAGGCTTTTGTGGTATTTGTGGATTTGGAAAAGGCATAAGATAGGTTGGATAGAGAGGGGCAATGTGGCAGATGTTGCAAATGTATGAATAGGAGGTAGGTTATTGAAAGCAGTGAAGAGTCTTTACAAGGATAGTGAGGCTCAGGTTAGAGTATGCAGGCAAGAGGGAGATTATTTCCCAGTAAAAGTAGGCCTTCGACAGGGATGTTTGACGTCGCCATGGTTGTTCAATATATTTACACATAGAGTTGTGAGAGAAGTGAATGCTTGGGTGTTGGCATGAGGTGTGGGGTTAAAAGATAAAAAAATCTAACACAAAGTGGGAGTTGTCACAATAGCTCTTTGCTGATGACACTGTGCTTTTGGGAGATTCTGAAGAAAAGTTGCAGAGATTGGTTGATGAGTTTGGTAGGATGTGTAAAAGAAGGAAATTAAAAGTGAATATAGGAAAGAGTAAGGTGATAAGGATAACAAAAAAATTGGGTAACGGATGATTGGATATCAGACTGGAGGGAGAGAGTATGGAAGAGGTGAATGTATTCAGACATGTCAACAGATGGTTCCATGAAAGATGAGGTAAATCATAGAACTGATAAGGAAAAAAAGGTGAGTGGTGCACTGAGGAGTCTGAGGAGACAAAGAACTTTATCCATGAAAGCAAAGAGGGGAATGTATGACAGTATAGTTACACCAACGCTCTTGTATGGGTGTGAGGCATGGGCTGTGAATGCTGCAACAAGAAAGCTGGAGGCAGTGGAGATGTCATGTCTGAGGGCAATGTGTGGTGCGAATATAATGCAGAGAATCCGTAGTTTGGAGATTAGGAGGAGGTGTGGGATTACCAAAACTATTATCCAGAGGGCTGAGGAGGGGTTATTCAGATGGTTTGGACATGTAGAGAGGATGGAACAAAATAGAATGACTTCGAGAGCGTATAAATCTGTAGTGGAGGGAAGGCGGGGTAGGGGTCAGCCTGCAAAATGTTGGAGGGAGGGGGTAAAGGAGGGTGTGTGCGCTAGGGGCTTGGACTTCCAGCAAGCATGCATGAGCATGTTAGATAGGAGCAAATGGAGACAAATGGTTTTTAGAACTTGATGTGCTGTTGGAGTGTAAGCAAGGTAACATTTATGAAGGGATTCAAGGAAACCGGCAGGCCGGACTCGATTCCTGGTTATGGGAAACATAGTGCCGGCACTTTGAAGGAGGGGTGTTAATGTTGCAGTTTTATAACTGTAGTGTAAGCATGCCTCTGGTGAGACAGTGATGGAGTGAATGATGAAAGTTTTTTTTTTTTTCAGGCCACCCTGCCTTGGTGGGAAACGGCTGATGTGTTAATAAATAAAAAAAAAGTGTAGGTAGAGTAATTATCTGTGGTTATACAATGTAGGGTTTTGAGGTCTAAAAAACTGCTTTCTGTGATGGGTTCTATTAACCAACATAGGAATAGTAATATTCCATGCCAGTAATGGACTCTTAACCCTTTCAGGGAACAATGGAATTTGCCTAAAATATGACTCGAAGTGGGCATAATCGCCTGTGTGTAAATACTGCCAAGACAGATAAATTTGTGAAAGTGTTGTTCAGTAATTTGCCCATTAAATATCTTCTTTTGGTGTCATTACCTCTGGAAAAAGATTCTCTATCATTTCATAAGAAAAATAATTTTGGGGGAGGAAAATTTGTGGACCCATAGAACAAGTTTCAGACTGGGGGTCTGGACCCCAAAAGGGTTAAACCATTGTTATGCCAGCATATTCACTTTCTTTACTACTTCTGGGAGCAGTCATACTAGTGTTATCACTAGTGTTAACATCAGACAGTATTCAGGTTTCTATCTCTATTCAGTAATAACCTGATGAGGTGGTGCTGGCAGGAAGAAGCAATGGGTACCATGGTTCAATGAACCCTTCATAGAAAACAGTTTTTTAGACTTTAAAACTCTGTATTCTGTGCTGAGTTCCATAAACCATCACAGGTATCTACCAGCAGTACCTGAAATCATGACATTGGCAGCTGAAGCCCGTATGGAAGATACTTATAATGAAGAGCACAGAGATAGTAAACTTACTATCTGTAACAGAGGCAAGTTTTGAAACTATACTGCCCTAATAGTTATACAGTACTAAGTTGGATGCAATAAAAAGGGGTTTGATGCAGGTCCTAGGCGAAGACTTGCATCCACTGTTAGGGGCTGGATTATTCTCCTCTCCCTGCTACCCAGAAAAATCATTATTTCATATACATGCCAGCAATTATTATTACATGCATAAGTGTTCCAATTCTCAGATCAAGAGCCCTTGACCAGCATCAAGGGCACACACCAGGAAACAAAAAATGTGAAGCAGCACCAGCAAGTTTTAGCAATGAAGCACATGCATTGGGAACCCAATTATCCCTGTGGAGAGCTACTAATATTAGGATGAAGAAAACCAACTGGTCTTGGCTGGGTGACTCCTGAACTCTTTTTTTTTTTTTTATAGGAATGAGCCATAACCTACCTATGACTAAAATAATACATCAAGATGGTAACCAAATCTGACTATTCAGTTTGTGGTCCTGGTTAAACTGGATAGACTGCCTGGAGGACAGTGTGAGCCTCTACTAAGCATGACTGAGAGATACATGAACACCTACAATGTGGAGGCAAAATGACCATCAATGTCCACAACACATGGATATAAAATATTATTGAAAAAATTGGTAAGAATTTATAAATACAAGAAAACACAGAAGTCACAGATCTTACAGAGTAGCATGTATCATAGATGAAGGAATGTGACAGCAGAAATGGGGAGAAACCACACTCCAGTGTCTGCAAAGGTTGCTGCTCTGGAAACTGAATGTCTCAAAAGCTGAGGTCCAGGGAAAACCATGGTCAACACAGCCAAGGATACAGACATAGATCTGATGTCATGGGTTTGGAGTGATGCTCATTCATACATGTGGAGATATCTGGATACTCTCAAAATAACAAGGTCTAGAGCAACAAGTGTTGCAAGACACTGACAATCTCCAGGTGTAATGAGTCATAATGTCAGACTGAGGAAGCTTCAGCCTGGATGGAGCAGTCATAGTGAACTGAATTCCTCATGTGGAGATGAGTCTTGCATCCCTCAGATGGAAACGAGTCTGTGAGAGAATTTGAGACTCAAATCTGATGCATTAAAAAGATATGGTTAGAGGTAGTGAGTGACCACTAGAAGACAAAGGAGAGGAAAATCCCATGAACAGTAACAGTGTACTGTACAGCATCTTGAGCCAGGCATGCCTGTAAACTACTCATGTAATCACAGCAAAAGCCAGAAGGAACCCCTTCACCAGTGCAGAGGTATTCTGTAGCAGAGGCATGAAAAAAAAGGTGGGTAGAGGCAACCCATGCCTACACCTTAACCAGACCATTTTGAAACCCATATGAGAGGTCCCAAATGTTGAAGGGAGATTGCATAAGAGCCAAGTGTTTAGTGCGAAGGTCAACCATTTCATGACGAAAGACCGACCTTGAAAAGTGTCCTGTGACAGCAGGTGTACATAATGTAGAACAATGTGCCTCTCCATGGTACAGGACACGAACTAGGTCATTTCCTGTTAATGTACATCATAAAGGCTCGTAGTTCAGCAGCACTTATGGCTCACAACCGAATGACCTGACTTCAATCCTGAGGTGCGAAGAGATGTTACCCCTGTTCATCTAGCAGTAAATAGGCAAGCAGGTATTAGCTGACTGTTGTGGGTTGCATCCTAAGGGTGGTAACATAGATAGGGCTAGGCTCTGAAATGAGCTGAAGTTAGACAGCAGTTTACAACCTTTATATTCAACATCAGTTTAAGTTAAAAAAAAAAAAATTATAGAGGACAAAACAAACCTAGAGATTTCTAGAATGACCTAACAAAATTCTTTCATAACATCTCAAACTTGCAAGTGCTACCACATGTCCATCACTGTTATTTTCCAGTGAATTCATGTTTTATGTTTAAAATATTTCTTCATAAATTAAAATTCTCAAAACCTGAAATTCGGAATACTTTCTTAATGGCCAAATGAGCCTTAAAATTTCAAAGGATAATCCCTTAAAAGAATTTTTTCCAATTTTTCGTATCAAATCATGTTACTGAAAAGAATACTTTACAAATATGATTTTTTCTATATATTTATCTTAAATAAATAATATTTCATATAGATACCACAGAAAGATTCAGCAAAAATACCAAACTGAATATAAGTTTCCATTATATCTTGATTCTTCACATAACTTATGATGCATCAACATAATCTAAAACACAGTATTAAATTTAGACCAACTCTTACCTACTGTTGCAGCGCAGATAAGCTGAGGATTCTTTTTGTCTACAGCCTCCAGTTTCATGCCTACTTCAAAATAATTTTTTGGTGGTGTTGGTGGCTCGGTACGAAATATATGAGGAGGAGAGACTTCAGCATTGTGTAGAGTCTTAAGAAGGAACATTGGCCAAGATGACGCATTCATCCGGAAACCTGGAAATGAATAAATTCATGTGCTTATTTTCTCATCCAGTACAAACAATAATATAAAAAGGTATGAACATTTACAGCCAAAAATAAAAATCAGGAAGATGAAAGGATTGGGTTGCACACCCGCTTGGTTGTTAAGTGGTGTTTATAGTACACTTATATTTCACCTTACACACAGTACATCCAAGAGATACATTATGTATAAGCAAAATGTTTTGCTAAGCAATTTTTTAAAACGCCCCAATTACACAAAACATTCGTCTTAAATGTAAATTAGTTCAACAAAAAATGTGTTAAGGTAAGTTTTTTTAAATTTATTAATTTTTACACCCCTCCCTCACTTACTGATGGAGTTCCGCCCTAAGACACGTCGAAATTAAAACATTCAGTTTTATTTTGCTGTGAAAATCCTTTCAATTGTTTTTTAACAGAAATACAACTAAAATGGGGTAAAATAACCTACTTCCGGTATTTCAGGAAATCGTGCAGGGGCTGATTTTTTTTTTTTTTTTTTAAAAAATTGCACTTTTTTCAGTGTTTGCATAGGAAAAGAGTTATCTTTATATTCCCCTTTCGGGGGCGAGAGTGTAACATTTTCTTTTAAACGTTGCAGTCACTTTTTTTTAACCCCCTCCTCCACCCACCTCAATTTACCTTCCATGTAAAGTAGTTTTTTTTAAATTTTGGGCTCCTTATCTACTTCATGTTATTTACTTTATCCCTTTTAATTAAATTCTGGAAAAATTGATAGGTAGAAAACCCTTTATTGATAGTAATGTACGTGGCCCCCCGCATCCCTTGGCACACAAAACGATTAATCCGCATACCGTTTTGCTTTAATCGAAAAATTTTTTGCCTGATCCCGTTTAAAAAACCCGTCAGGCTTTCGTCCGAGAGGTCCAATGGGCCTTAGCCAGCCTCATGTTCCGCGGTGGCATTGTTTACCCCCAGCCCCCGCGGGGCTCCCGCATACAATCATAACTTTCGTATTTTACGTTTTTTTTGGTGATTTTTCGGAAAATAAGTGACCATGGGCCCAAGAAGCTTCTGGCCAACCTCAGCAATAAGGGAAAGAATTACTATGAGATGAAAAAAAAAGATCACTGATAAGTTGAAAGTGGAGTGCGTGTCCCCGAACGGGCCCAGGTTGTATAATAAACCCCAAAATCAACCTTTGTATTTGGGGGTACGCTGCTGTGCTGCACTGTCAGCTGTGCGCTGCTGTGATGTCTGTCTGCTGTGCATCGTCTGCTGTGTTTGTAGCATCGTCTGCTGCTGCTGTGCTGTAGCATGTCTGCTGGCTGCTGTTTGCTGTAGCATGTCGCGTGTGCTGCTTGATGTCTGCTGCTGCTGTAGCTATCTGCTGCTGCTTTTTACCTTGTCTGTGTGTGTAGCACTGTTGTTGGGGGGTTTTGGGAAAATATCCCAAGAAAAAATTAACCCCGAGGATTTTCCACCCAGGTAACCCAAAAAAAAGTCAGTGCCCGAGATGTCAAACTTTTTCCATTGGGCCCTTAAATTTTGCCCCAGGTGCAACCCACACCAGTCGACTAACCCCCGGGGAAAAACGGGGAAAAAATCCCTGGAAACTTGTCATATTGGTGAATTTAAACCCGAAAAAGGTTGGTTTGAGAGTTTTAAAGAATCGTAGTGACATCACAGTGTGATAAGGCATGTTCTGGAAGAAAAGCCAAACAGGACCTCCCAGTACCGGGGGGGAAAAGGACCCCCAGGAACAGTGTTCATCAGTATTGTGCATCTTCATAAGGAAAGTGTCTTTTATTCTTTTTTTGTGCTGTACATGCACAATATATACTGGAGTATACTCTATATTTGCTGATCCTTCTTTTTGTGTGTGGAAAATGTATATTTCACGTGGGGTAAATTTTTTTTTTTCATATTTTTGGGTGTCTTGCACGGATTAATTTGTTTTCCATTATTTCTTTGGGGAAAATTCATTCGATTCCCGATTATTTGCTCCCAAATGAGCCCTTTGCACGGATTAAAACGGTATGCGGGGGTCCACTGTACGTGGAACCCGGCTTAGAATCCCCCTGGTGGAACGAAATTTCGGGATGCGAACTTCCCCTAAAGGGGGTTCTGGGGAAGGGGCTTTTGATAAAGGGAATGGTCTGGCTCCACCTCCCAAAAATTTAATATAATAAATTATTATTTTTTTGTAATCATAGTACTATTAAAATAATCGCTGCAGGGGCCCTGTTGGCCCTACTAGGCGGTCCTTCACAACCACCCCACAAAACAAAATATTTCCCCAAAATCAATTTTCATGCTCCCAAGCAGCCAACAGGACTGCTGCAGTGTTTCCTCCTTTCTTAAGTTCTTTTTTTTTTTTCAAAAATATGCGTTTCCCACCGGGGGAGGGTAGCCAAAAAAAAAAAATCAAAAGTTTCTTTTCAAAAATTTAGTAATTTAACGGGAGGGGGTTACTGCCCATTGCCCCCAGCTTTTTAGTGCCTTTACAACCACGGTTTAAAGGGGGGAAAAATTCTTTTCCCCTTTCCCCCAGGAGAAAAGGGAAAAAACAGAAAAGAACTAGTAAGAAAATAGAAGGAAACTTTGAGGGGTGGGTATGATGTATGTATGTAGTATTTATATATATTTAGTATGTATGTTTTTAGTTTTTATTTTATATATATTGTAGTATGTTTTAGTTTTATTAAAATTATAAATATATATTTTATATATTATTTTAATATATATTATATATATATATATTTATATTATATATATAATATATATTATATATATAGTGGCCCCCCCAAAACGTTACCTCCGAATGGCCCAATATGTATTTTTTGAAGTGCGTTTGTCCCTGTTGTTTGGGGGTCTGAAAGGGGATAATCTTTCACAATATTCCTTTGGGAACAAATTCGGTCAGTACTGGCACCTGAACATCTTCTGGAGTAAAAAAATTTTCGTTTAACCGGGGGGGGTCCACTGTATAAAATTTATATATTTATATTTTTTATTATATATTTTTATAATATATATATATAATATAATATATTTATAAAATATTATATATATTAAATATATAAATATATATATATTTTTATATATAATATTATATTTATTAATTTATATTATTAATTATATATTTTATATATATATATATAATTATATATATATTATAATATATTTTTATATATATTATATTTTAAAATTTTTATATTTGGTTGTTTAATATTTTATAGTGGGGGTTGTAAGAGAAGTAATGCGAGGGTTTTGGCAAAGGCGTGGGTTTTTAAAAAGATAAAGAATCACACCAGGGTGGAGTTTCACGTGTCTTTGCTGATGACACTGTGCTCTTGGAGATTCTAAAGGGAAAAGTGCAGAGATTGGGGTGAATTTGGTAGGGGTGAAAAGAAGAAAATTAAAGGTGAATACAGGAAAGAGTAAGGTTTGGGGGATAACAAAAAGATTAGGTGATGAAGTTGAATATCGATTGGGGGAGAGAGTATGGGGAGGTGAACGTATTAGTATTTGGGAGTGGACGTGTAGCGGATGGGTCTATGAAAGATGGGGGTGAATCATGAATTGATGGGGGAAAAAAAGAGTGAGGGGTCCCTTTAGGAGTTGTGGAGACAGGAACTTTGTCTTGGAGGCAAAGGGGGGAAATGTATGAGAGAAGTTTTACAAGCTTTTTTAATGGGTGTGAAGGGGTGATGAATGTTGAGCGAGGGAAGGGTGGAGGCAGTGGAGTGTCATGTCTGAGGGCAATGTGTGGTGTGAATAAAATGCGAGAAATTGTAGTTTGAAGTTAGGAGGAGGGCGGGATTACCAAAAAGTTGTCCAGGGCTGAGGGAAAGGGGTTTTTGAGGTGGTTCGGACATGTAGAGAGAATGGGGGCGAAAAAGAATAATTCAAGAGTGTATCAGTCTGTTTGGGGAAGGAAGGCGGGGGGGGGGGTGGCCTGGAAGGGTTGGAGGGAGGGGGTAAAGGAGGTTTTTGTGTGCGAGGGGCTTGGATTCCAGCAGGCATGCGTGAGCGTGTTTGTAGGGGTGAATGGAGCAAATGGTTTTTAAAACTTGAGTGCTGTTGGGTGTGAGCAAAAATAACATTTATGAAGGGATTCAGGGAAACCGGCAGGGCCCGGTTGAGTCCCGGGATGGGGAAATACAGTGCCTGCACGAAGGGGGGTGTTAATGTTGCAGTTTAAAAACTGTGTGTAAAGCACCCTTTGGCAAGACGTGATGGGTGAATGATGGTGAAAGTTTTTCTTTTTGGGGCCCCCTGCCTTGGTGGGAATAGGCCAGTGTGATATAAAAAAAAAAAAAAAAAATATATATATATATATTTATTATTTTATATATATATTATATATATATTAATTTTTATATTATATATATATTATAAAAAGTGTAGGTAGGGTTTAATTGAAAGAAATTTGAGGTAAACAGAATGTAGGATTGCGGTGAGCAAGGAGGTTTTGAGTGGGGGGGGGGTGTGTAGATCAGGTGTTTACATTGAAGCATTTGTGAACAGTATTTAGTAAAAAAGGGAAGTTTTTATTGCATTTATGGATTTAGAAAAGGCATTGATAGATGGGTAGAGGAGCAAAGTGGCAGATGTTTTGAAGTTATGGAATAGGTGGTAAGTTATTAAAAGTGTAAAGAGTTTTTATGAAAATAGTGAGGTCAGGTTAGGGTGGTAGAAGAGAGGGAGAAATATTCCCCGGTTTTAAAAATAGGTCTTAGACAGGGTGGTAATGTCACCTTGGTTTTTTAATATATTTTGATGGGGTTGTAAGGAAGTAAATGAGGGTGTTTGGGGGAGGGGTGGGATTAAATTATGGGGAATCAATTCAAAAAGGGATTGACACAGTTACTTTTTGTGATGATACTGTGCTTATGGGAGATTTAAGAAAAATTGCAAAGGGTTTGTGGATGAGTTTTGGGAATGTGTGTAAAGGGAGAAAGTTGAAGTGAACATAGAAAAAAGGGAAGGTGTGAGGGTGTCAAATGATTTTGATAAAGAAAAAT